ATAGTTTTTGATCTGAATTGTTCGGAGGAATAATATTTTTCCTCGGACAACTTAGCAAATTTCATGTTTGTCTTGAACAGATTGGATGTTTCTTCTTTATAATTATACAAGATTTATCATCCTTCCTTTGACAAAAGAGAACATCCAAAAATGTTACATGTTTAAAGAACACAGATTTATTGCATATTGGGGATGAGATACGAGTATGGATATCAACATGATGAAGATTTTTTTTTTTTATTGAATCCAATCCTTTGGGGTTTCTGCGGTTTCATGGAAGTTTTACTTGCATAGGTTAAAATTGCTTGCATATACAGTTTTGTTCGGCATATGCAATGGATATTTAATAAATGCTTCTTCATTCGGTTTTAATGAAAAAAAAAATACCAAAAGAATCTAAAAGATCACACAATTTTTCCTCTTCAAAATATGATATTTTTGTTATATGTTTGAAAATACATGTGTGCACTCTGTTAAAATCAATGAACTTAATAATTGATGCACTCAAACGTAACTTGATTACCAGTAAAATGAAATTATAAAATCTCTCTCTCTCTCTCTCTCTCTCTCTCTCTCTCGTCTCTCTCTCTCTCTCTCTCTCTCTCTCTCTCTCTCTCTCTCTCTCTCTCTCTCTCTCTCTCTCTCTCTCTAATGAATATAATTTTCTATCATTTTATTTAGAGACAGATGTTACCTTTTTATTAACAATCAATTACTTCAGTAAATGAAAAATACGTACAAGTTGACAGCTGCAAGAAACTAGAGAAATTTCTTTCTGAGAGGATCAAAAGTGTTGATAAGTGTGTACAGAGGGTGGGCGAAATCACCTGTTGTGAATATTTCATTGAGTATAAAGGGTTTTCTTTGGTCTTCATATCAATTAAACATATACTACCTTCAACAGCATGCAAAAACTCTTTAGTTTAGAATTGATTTCACATTTGGCAATAGATTTTTTTGTTCATATACGACAGATAAACATCAAAAGTCGATAAGATTTGAGAAAACTTCTAGGCGCGTTGTGAGGCCTACTCAAAATTCAAGTAGAAAATACATTTCCATTTAGAAAGCATAATGCATGTATATGTAAAATCTGATAGGCAATTCATTCTCTCTTACTTACACAATATGTTAGGAACACGAGATACAAATATCAATACTTATCATATTAGAAAAAATCTTAGATCTATATTTTTTTAGTTATAAGTGTAACTTCGTGTATATCTAGTCTGACATTGCAATCAAAGTATCAAAAATCTGGTGTTATATCAAAAAAACACGTGAGACTTTAAAACTGTGAGAAAAGTAATGCATTAAATTCATTTACCCCTTTCACTTGAAACAAAAACAATCTATAGATGATAAAATCTGCCGAAAGAAACTAAAGAGAGATTGATAACAGAAGTTTGAAAATATGAGATAAAAAATGACATAAATGGATATTGGAGTTTGGTGATCAGTTTTGTAAACAAGATGTGTTTGTGAAACACTGATGCCCTCGTATGGCAACTTATAGCGAAGGTTAAACTTTCTCAAATGCAAATCAAATATGATGGTACCGTACCCAAGGTGTACATGTACAGAGGAATATACCCGTGTAATATGAAAGCCCTAGCAGCAACCACTGGAAAGATATGGAAAATGTTAATTTTTTTCAAAAGTAGATCAAACTCCAAGGTCAAAGGGTCAAAGATTTTGGTATCCAAAGGAAGGACTTGTCACAAGGATTACACGTGTGAAGTATGAAAGCACTTGCACCAACCGTTCAAAGTTATAGCCAATGTTAAGGTTTTTCAAAAGTAGGTTAAACTCCAAGGACAATGGGTCAAAATTGTTGGTATCCAAAGGAAGGACTTGTCACAAGAATTACACATGTGAAGTATGAAAGCACTAACCGTTCAAACGTTATAGCCTATGTTATTTTTTTTAAAAGTAGGTCAAAATCCAAGGTCAAGGTCAAAAGGTCAAAGTTGTAAGTATCCAAAGGAAGGACTTGTCACACGGATTACACAAGTGAAGTATGAAAGACCTAGCACCAACTATTCAAAAGTTATAGTCAAGGTTAAAGCTGGAAAATTTTTTGTAAAACTGGGTCAAACTCCAAGGTCAAGGTCAAAAGGTCAAATATGATGGTACCCAAAGAAAGGTCTTGTCACAAGGATTACACATGTGAAGTATGAAAGCCCTAGCTGCAACCGTTCAAAAGTTATAGCCAATGTTAAGGTTTTTTAAAAGTAGGTCAAACTTCAAGGTCAAGGTCAACGGGCCAAAGTTGTTGGTATCCAAAGGAAGGACTTGTCACACGGATTACACATGTGAAGTATGAAAGCAGTTGCTCCAACCGTTCAAAAGTTATAGCCAATGTTAAGGTTTTTCAAAAGTAGGTTAAACTCCAAGGTCAAGGTCAATGGGCCAAAGTTGTTGGTATCCAAAGGAAGGACTTGTCACAAGGATTACACATGTGAAGTATGAAAGCCCTAGCACCAACCGTTCAAAAGTTATAGTCAAGGTTAAAGCTGGAAAATTTTTGTAAAACTGGGTCAAACTCAAAGGTCAAGGTCAAAAGGTCAAATATGATGGTACCCAAAGAAAGGTCTTGTCACAAGGAATATACTTGTGAAATATGAAAGCCATAGCTTTAACCAATCAAAAGTTATGAGCAATGTTAATTTTTTTGCAGACAAAGAGACAGACAGACGGACGGACAGGGCAAAAACTATATACCCCCGAATCTTCGATACGGGGGCATAAAAATTTCATATACAGTCCCTGAGTCTCCAATGCCAGGTAGAATTTTACCAGTAAAAATATTCTGATGCAATCAAAGTAATTTGAATAACAAATCATGTTTTATGGGGAACAAAAAAATACAGCCTTCTCAAAAATGATTTTCCTTGAACTATTGGGTTATTTATAATTTTAATGGCGGAAAATCAACCCATTCATGGCACTCTTGACTTCCACAACAGGAAGTGAACAATAGGAAACATCTTTTAAACATTGCAAATGTAAGTGGAATCAATCTAATACACCCAAAAGTTTACAGCTGATATGGCTAGGACAAATAAGCTCTCTTCGTGTTTATCAACCTCTCAATAACCTGTTTTACCGTGATGGTTACACACGAAGAACGTTTCATAAATATAGCAAAATACCACCAAAGCATAAAAAGCCCACAACAATCACAGATTGGTTATATAGTAATTATTCAAAGCATTCTCCTTTAATCTTAACACATGTCACTAGAGTTTTTATCCAAAACCGGAACGCCTCGGAAACTTTTCCTTAAAGATGCTCAAAAGACACCGATAGGTGGTCAACCCCAGGGCAGATATGGATTTATGGTCTTCATGTGAGCGTTTATTTCGGTTTTTGGAATAGAAGAAAGTCACCAAGGCCGAGATATGGTAAATATAAGGATGACTTGTTCTGTAACCCTTTTTTTCCAAAAGTACTTCCTTTTTTTATACATTTGTACAACAATGTTATTACTGAAAACGATCACGAACTAGCAAGGAGGCTGTTGGAGATATATATATATATATATATATATATATATATATATATATATATATATATATATATATATATATATATATATATATATATATATATATATATATATATATATATATATATATATATATATATATATATATATATATATATATAAGTATCATGCCTATCCATTGCAAATATTGCTGATGGAAAGCCAAAACATAAATCGAAATACATTAGATTGAATTTTTATAATCATTATTGTCACCTCTTTCATAAAGTCCTTGCATCATAGATAGAAATTCTTTTTCCAATGACAATAAAAAATGCGGGAGACAATTCTTACCGATATTGTTTAAACAACGATCATTTTGTTTAATGTTTGTGCGAAAGTAAAAAAAAAAAAACAAAAAAAAAAAAACAAAACAAAACAAATTTAAAGTACAAAATACAATTCATGATTGAACAGGAAAAAATCCATATATTGTTGTCATTAATTTCTTTATAAAAATCATAATATAGATACATTAAATTTATATTCTTGCGTATTCATGTAGCAGGTGCTCTCGCATATACTCACGTCACACTTAGCAAGATAAAAGTTTTCACATCAAATCGTTTTTCAGAAATTAAAGGATATTTGAACTGATCGTGATAATATATGAGTGAGATATTATTAATTCATTGCAATGTAATATCGAGTGATACTTGAAGGAAAAACAACAATAAAATATTTGTCACACAGTCATAGTATTTTGAATGAATTGATTTTGAAAGGGAACTGCAACTTTATTTTAATAAGCGCATGACATAAGAGATCACAAACTCAATGAAGGGAAATTAAAGTACATGTACATTGATTAAAATTCTAATTTCAATTTAGGTTATAAGCATAGTTTAATGATGTCCAAAAAGAAAAATTTTTAGTTCAATAAAAGTTGCGTTGTCATTATTTTCATTGTTGTAACCAATGATTGCATCAGGTACAGCTGGATCAAGATATGTATTATATCTACATATGGAAAATTTTGATTGCAGTTTAGTATTTTGAATAAATAAAAAAAAACCCATATACCTTTGGAAGGGAAATGCAATAACATTCTTTAAAAACACGACACAGCTTGTCACATATACAAGGAAGATACATGCAGATTGATTTTTAATTCAAACTTAAAGGCTTAAAAGTTTATTTTTATGATGAACAGAAAAGAAATAGTTGTTACACTAATTGGCTCAACGTTTGTGTCAGCATTAACCTTGATAGCTCAAGCAGAAAGATGTGATAGGTAAGATACAATATATATGGAAAGGCTTGTTTTATGAAAATTACTGAATATAATAGGTACATGTACTTCAATGTAAATATCAGTACTTGAATCTATTAATGGATATTAAATGTATTTTTCATTCCAGTAGGTGTGATATGCTAATTTGCAAATACACAAATGAACTTTCTCTCTTTTTCCCTTTCTCTTCTTCTCTTGATGGTGGGGTTATGGATAAATGAATGCGTAAAAAAATTTAATCTGTAATTCTTAACAGCAACTACACCATTTGCAGTCGGTGGAATCAAATGAGCAAATGTGAAGGTAGGTTAAAAAGAATCAATAGGTTACTGTTGGTTGGTATCATAAGCATCTTACAAACATGGAAAAAAAGGTGAGTTTGTGATAAAGTGCATATAATTTATAATGTACTTATAGTTTTATTATATTACATATACATGTAATTTCATTTTTACTACCGTTATTATGAATCATACAGAATATTTCAAATGAAATTTAAACTTGAAAACTATATTTTTTTTAGAATGTGAATGTAAGCCAGGTTATACGGGTTCAAACTGTGAAAAAACTTGTCCATACGCAGGCTATGGAGAATATTGTCAGGAGACATGTAACTGTAAAAAGCAATATTGCAATCATATAACGGGATGCAGTGGTATAAATTCAATTATTTCATTAAATATTTATAAGTTTTCAACATTTAAACTAGATCAATTTCTTGTTTTATGAAAATTGCGACTTTTAAAGTTTTATTTTTCGACAACTTTATACAAGGCAAATTTTATCTCAATATCTGTACTATTTATTTACACATAACTATTTTTAACATTTAAGATGGGTCTCCAACAATTTCACCACCAAGTACAACCTTGCAACATACTTTGCCAACAGTGGAGATATATAATAACGGTAAAACATATGATTTTGTACTATATACACTGTTTCAATGTGACCAAGTAATTCCATATATTCGTCTTAGCTCTATTTCGTTTCTGACATTTTTGTAGGGGAATATCGAACACATTTTTGTCACTTCATGTCAAATCAGTAAGATCTTCTTAACATTTCGAAATGCTTTTTTTCGAACACTCTTTTGTAATGTTATACCTGACTGTTTATGTAAAATTTGAAGATTACGAACAATAATCGATCTCATGAATCCGGTAAACAAAACAAATTGTGAACAGGGTAAAAACACGGTTCCTTGGTAACACTAGAGGTATTAGGTGCCTAGGAGGAGTAAGCACCGCATGTCGACCAGTCAAACATGCCGTAAGACCTATGTATTGATCAGGTAATCTTTGAATGCTTTTTGTTGTACTATGAATCAACCCAATCAACATGCGTGATAGATCTGGGTATAAATACTCGATCAGAAATACGTGTCCTGCCAGCCAACTTCTAGTTCACTATACCTCGTGGTAATGTCGTTCATACAGGGTTTCTTTTAAGAATACAATTACTTTTAATAATTAATAATGTTATATTTTCCGATTTTATGTAATATATATATAAGTATATCTTGAATAGTTTCTTTGAAATTGAGCTAAACGCAAAATGGGTCGAGCGGACAGACAGAAGGACGGATGGTGATCATGAGAAGCATTAAATGCCCGGCCCTATTCATGCCGGCGCATTCTAAATAAATGTTAATGTATTGCATTTGTGTATGAAAACTACCTGTAATGTTTTTCTTGGTTTTAGACGGGGGTGCCCGCTTGAATCCACATCTGATAATTCATTCAATACCCTAAAAAAGATAGTAGGTATAGATCCATAATTCTTTTAAAAAACTGATATTGGTGCTTAACTTGCATATTCCCTCAAAATAAAAAAAGTCATTTTACCCGTGTATGTTTTTTTAAATTATTGTTTGTTTGTTTGTTTTTTTTTTTTTTTCATTTTTTATTTATTTTTTCAGGTTACTTTTAGAACTTCCTTCTTACTCTTCAAGGGTAAAAGTTTTGTTTTCCGATTATTTCGTTACAGAAAACCATTTATTCATAATCAAAATCTCTCCGATTCTAATCACTAGAACTGTTCAACATTGATTGATTTTATGCTGTTTTACGTCCCATTCGAGAATATAGAGACGTCATTATATACTGGTGAAGGGCTGCGAGGGATCTTTATCGTGCCAACGCCTACCGTGACACGGGGCTTCGGTTTTAAGGTCTCATCCGAAGGACCCACAACTTTCACTTCAAAGTGCCGAGCGCTTCGCGAAGGAACAGTTGCTACATATTTTTTTTTTTTTTTATCGTTTTAGGCCAGTCACGGCCGTGATCCGAACACACTACCTTCCGATCACGGAGCTACCGCTCTACCGGCTGAGCTACCCTTACGGCTGTTCAACATTGAATCACTCAGTATACGAAATATGTGATTTGTAGATGACTGCTATTGTTACCAATTAAATACATGGCCACTGAATGCACATACATGTATACGAATACTTTTAATAGATATATACCGTATATAAATGCGATAAATCAGTCTGCTTAAAAGATAGTTGTATTTTTTTTTCAAGATTATTACAGACGGATTTGCCACTGAACCTCTGTAAGGCAGTACAACTTTTTGCCAGAATCAGCTGACAATATCAGATCTATGATTTATTTTTCCATGTGTTTTTAATATTATTATATAGTCTATAAATAGTCCCTATATAATCTATGCAAACTCAAACAATTCATAATACTACATATTCACAATGGCATTGTGACGTCACAATCATTACTTCAAACAACGTGGAAAGCAATGGTTGTGCAAGGGCCGGAACCAGCTGTATATTTGAGCCGGAAAAGTGTTAGGCAAATTTATCGTAGGGTTATTTTCCAAACTTTCGTTGTCTTCCACACAGCGAAAGGAAAACACGGAAGTTATAAGTTGTAATCTGGACATTTCTTTTATTTTTCTACGGCAGACGTTTGTTTATGAAAATGGAGTCGTCAGGCAGCCTCCAATGTCTTATTCATTCAGATCCTGATTATATAATAAAACAACTATGGAGTCTTTCGATGGTAAATATGGTTTGTTATTCACCAGAAAAATATCAATATTGACATCCGCTTCGCCTCGGTCAATATTGATATTTTTCTGGTGAATAACAAACCATATTCGCCACCGAAAGAGTTCATAATTGTATAAGATTCTTTGAAATGACCGATATTTTTTTGTTTATTTTCCACATATTAATTTCATATAAATAATTTAAAATATTTACCTGTGTTCAATTCATAAAATAATCATATAATAATTTTGAAATCAGACAGCGATATTTAATCTGTCATTCCAAAAAAGATCTATTCCATACGTTAATCGTTGGGTTGTTAAAAAATGCGGGGTATGATTTTTGCATAGAAAATGGATTCATCATTGCCACTGAAAGTTTTGCCATCTTCAAGTTCATGTTAGTTGAGACAGTGACCAAGAGATAGAGCTCCTCTTTTATTTCTTCGGACACTTTGGTCATAGACTGATTGCATATTATATCTAGAAGTATAAAGGAGATAAAGCATCAAAGATGATCAATTAGAAGAAAATCAAACCTATAACATAAAGTATTTGCTACTTTTAACAATTAAAATTTGCAGGTGAATTTTTAATTTGTATTACCAAAACACATTTCCCACTGAATCTCTTTAATTTGGTCAAGACCAATACTGGTTGCACGATACATTACATGGTTAATCATGTAATGTAAGAGAGAAGAGATTATATATCAGATTTATATATGATATATAATTTTCTAAATACATACTTTATATAGTGTATAATATATAACAATAAACATCTATAGTTGTGCATGCAAATTAAAATTACACTCAGTTACAATTACTTTTCAATTATCCAGGCCCTTTACATAAGGCTAAATTGAGTAATGATTCTATTATTTGGAAGTACTCAGATCCTGCCTGTTTAAAACCTATTTTTATTGCGACACTCACAGTTTAAATAATTTTTCAGCATGTCTTCCTGGCTACCTAGGACATAACTGTGAACTTCAATGTCGCTATCCTAGTTTTGGAGTGAATTGTCAAGAACACTGTGACTGCAAAGAGGAATCCTGTAATACCATCACTGGTTGTGGAGGTATTTTATCTATAGATATGCTTATTTCATTTACACTTTTGCAATAATATAACTTGACAAAAATTGGTGATATTTCAACGCTTGGAAGAATATCATTTTTATTTTGCCTCGGGTAGGGTGTATGCAAAATGTCTTGCGGGCTACTTTCGGTTCTACACACCATTTTGACCACAGACCAAATATGTATTTACAAAACCCTTTAATGTTGTTATGGTAGAAAAACTAGATCATTCGAAATAGGAGATGAAGATTAGGTACAAATTTAATATATTTAAAGACTAAAAACAAATTTAATAGCAAGTAACAGAATCCCTGATGTTATGTGTTGTTTGTAAATAGAATGTTTAAGAATACCGATGTTAGATTTACACTGTACAAACAAAAATAAGCATGCTAAAAATCATCATGTTAGAATAGAAAAATAAATAAAATAGAACTCTCTTTTAAGTTGCCACTTTGATTAATAACTTTCACAAATATAAGCAAACATTAAAGATTTGTATGACTCTTTGAGAACTAAAGAAAAACAAATAGTGCGAAATGACAAGAGATGTCAAATTGCAAGAACACGAATTCGTGAGTGGACTGTTATTCTATGAATTTTACGTGCATTTCAGCAGGATTAAAATAATTAGTTCTTTTCGAAGGTGTTCCTTCTCATGAATTATGAGAAATTCTCATAAATATTATAGAATGTAGATCAATACTCTTTAAATAACCAGATGAACATATTTCACAATGATATCCATGGACATGATAAAAAATAAATATGTAAACTCAGTGACTGAGTTTGCTGATGTCTAGAACTTTGTACAATATATAAAGTCGCCCACGTGGTGCAGTGGTTAGAGTGTTTGCTCAAGAGTCGCGGAGCAAGGAGTTGATCCTTACATCGCAGGTTGGAATCCACTGTCCTTCGAATGAGACAGTATAATTGAGGTCCTGTGTCGTAAAAGGTGCTGGCAAAAAAAAAAAAAAAAAAAAAAAAAAAAAAAAAAAAAAAAGATCCCTCGCTACGCAAGGGCCTTAGGTGCCGAGAATTGGTCTAAATTTGTAGCCCTCCACCGGCAAGTGGTTGCTTCTGTATATGAGTCAAACGATCTTGAAGGAACAATAAACAAGCAATCAAACGTGCAAACAATATTTAAAACAGAATCTCTCCTTTTAACCAGATTTATCTGAAATATCTACAATAAATAATTAAACTTAATCTACTAGTGCCACATTTCTGATTATACTCAGCACGCAAATGTGTAACGAATATTTAGTGCTTGTTTCAATGTGTATTTCTGGGAAGAGATTTGGTTTAAACTTTTGTCATCAACATCCAGAAGGACCTTTTTTTGTCCTGTATGATACTGAAGAATCCTTTTAATATGTCAGTTGCTATACATCTACAAAATTTGAAAACTTTTTTTTTTGCTCTGATGAAGAACGTATCAAAGAACTGGTGAATAAAAAAATAACTTAGTAGATAGGACTCCTGCATAGTTGAACAGTGTTTGCCCTTCGATCGTGACAACTAAGTTAAACATTATCTGTCCTTCGATTGTAAGACGAACTCCTGTCAATTTTTATTTCAATTCATATGTTTTTTTTTCTAAATTCCAACGAATACTGATGTACATGTGCACGAGAGAAAATTGCTAACGCACCACCAAAGAAAATTACTATTTAACTTCTCAAAATTTGCTTATGATGTACCTGATATAAAAAGTGTTATTAAAATTAAAAGAAAGTCATTGAAATGCTTAAAAAATTTAAAAAAAAAAAAAAAAAAAAAAAAAAAAAAATGTTAATTGAAAAGTATCCATTTTAAATAAAAAACACGAAGGTTGTGCTCTCGGTTTTTCGAAGAATAAATTTTGCTTTTTTCTCTTTGACTGTGCAGTTTTTCTTTAAACTTGTACTAATCAAACAAACACTCAGAAATAAATATATGCAGTGTTTGACTCGAGAAGAGCGTACTAAAATACTCAGTATGGTGTCTGCAAGACGCTCCTTTGAGAAGGTTTGTAAAACGAAATACAAAATTGTTTTTTCTTCTTGTGAAAAGTTGTTGCAAATAAATTAATAAACAGACGTGTGGTGCACGAAAAATGGCTACCAAAGTACTGGGTAACTACGAAGTGATATGACGGAATTAAAACTCGCCCTATGTCATTTGATTTTTGACTGTTGAAAAATCGCTGATCACCAACTTCATTTTAGGACAATAGCGACATTTCGGAACTTTTTTTTCGGGCAAGATATTCATATAAGGGTCTTGTCATTAAAACAATACGTGATAAAATCGACTGAATTGGGCAGGAAGGCATATTAGATATGTGTACATGTAGATAAGGCATATCTTCAAAAAAAAAAAAAAAAAAAAAAAAGAATTTTAGGTGGTGCGTTTGTCCACTGTATTTTAATTAATGAGATTTAGCCATGGTTTATCGTTTTAATAGGAGTTAAATCAATACTCAGTACCGATATTTTATATACAGTGGCGCCGCGGTAATCCGGACGCCAATAATCCGGACGCTTCACTTTCCGGACGATATTTTCTGGGAAACAATTTTTTCCCCGTTATTCTGTCTCATTAATCCGGAAATTCGCGTTCCGGTTCCGGACGGTCAATTTCTACTACAAAACGTAATATTTCATTGAAAAATGACTCGTTTATCCGGACGGTAATTTTTTGAGAACGACTTTTCACACCTTTCTTGCAGTAGTGATAATTATTGTGAAAACATTGTCCGTGGAGTCATTTTGAAGGCGGTTACCTGTGACCTCTAAACAATAGCGTCAATGATTAGCGTGTGTTTACCTCAGATGAAACACACGTCTTTTATTATATTATATTATAAAGCCCGAAGAATTTAGCATATACTGTGCAATAATTAAATATTTATCCGTTCATAATAGAATAAATTGCTAACGGTATATAAATTTATGAGAATTTTCGAGAGTTGTAAATATTTTTTTTTACTGAATAATAAATCACGAGATTTCGTTGTGGTATTGAGTTGCGTAAGTTTATCAAAATACGATTTTCCAATTCTCAAAACGTACATTATTTGAAACATTTTTTTCTTTTCATAAGACAATTTATTATGATACATAATTCAAGAAAATATATTTCTATTTAATGCACTAAGAAATACGTAACTGGCGTTAGTTATAAATGCCGATCACGTTTTTCAAGGTTTATAACTTAGAGTTTATAGAAAAAATATTGATAATCCTGAATATGGCTTGTGTTTACGTTGAATGTTTACAATACGTACACTGATTACAGCGTTTAGTTACTTACTTCCCTATGTAGTGAATATACGCGGTTAGTCATTTGAACATTCTCAATGGTGATAATGAACAATTCTACGTAATATGAGCTTGAATAAATAAAAAAAAATGTGCCGAAATAAAACAGTAGCAGATCAAAATTTGGTCAGCCCATGTAACCACACGTCAAATAGAAGGCGAGTAAAGTTTCCTGTGTTAGAAAAGGAAGTCTCAACATAAAACTGGCTATCCATTTTTCATCGTGTAAATTACATTTTATTATTTTTTTCTTTTTTAAATATTGATTATTTCTTTTAAAACAATAAAAATAAAATCAATAAGTCAAGGTAAAATAAAGGTGTTTTCTTTGCTTTCACATTTAATACCACTATGTTCATATGTACATGCTTTGAGAGGGTACGTCTTTTAAGAAGTGATTCACTTATCCGGTCGATTCATTTATCCGGACGATTTCGTTGGGGACGGAGGCGTCAGGATAAACGAGGCGCCACTGTATAGCTGCAGCATCAGCAATTATTATTGGTTTTTATTTTAAAGATTTTTATTACACTGACTATACAAGTCTGTTTTTTCCTCGCTAATGAAATTTTGTATATTTAAATCGGTTGACATTCAAGCCATTAATGCTAATTTAATGGTCACATACTGAGGTTTACCGGCTCTTTTTACAAAACAGTTCCATTTGAGTGTGTTTTATGTACCAAAATGCATATGTATAAACTTTATGAGGAGTAATGCTAAAAATAATTAATGATTATATGTCCAGGCCTTTTTTTCCATATGCAGCAAAATACAATTAAATACAACTAAACTCGATGTGACACATACCTCTGGATATTATGTTATACTACATGTTTCGTACTAAAACAAAACAAACTGATCTAAAAATAATATTTTAATAAAGGAGATTTGATAAAAAAAAAATATCCTTGTACCATAAAAGGGTAGCGAGATTCATTTAAAAAAAAAATAGGGGAAACAAACTTTTTAGACACTGCAAAAAACTTCGTTATCTCTTTTCTAATCTTGTGACTGGTCATCAACAAAATTACATTGTTAAAAATCACTCTGATTCTACAAACAAGTGCTCTCAATTTGATATTAAAAGGATGCTGAGTTCCTCATTGACAACATCTATGTTGTCTTCGGAGACTAGGTCTTCCAACAAAATGTTAGAATTGGAGGGACACTTATTGTGCTCCTTGTTTAGCCGACCTGTTTTTATAATCCCATGAAGCAGAGTTTATTAAGAAACTTCTACATGACAGAATAAGAAAACACTTTTTGTGGCCTTCATATCTATATTCAAATATATCATCGACGTATTTTTAAATAACAATAGTCACAGTTAAGTTTCAGCATCGCTGACACCAATATCTCGAATACCATGGATATGTCAAAGTGATTTGGAAGTCCAAAGCACTAAGTCTTCATGTAATTTACCTTGGATATCAAAATTCTCGAATATCTTTAAGATTTTGAAATAAATGAATTTAATTTGAGTGTATTCAACGTTATTTCAAAAACGGGACCATAAAATGTTCCCTTTGAAAGGACTGTAGTTGAAGGAAGAATTTATGTGTGTGTATATAACAGACTGGCTCAAAACACTAATAAGGATTTATTTGGTATATTTTGTAAAAATTCATAAGAGGAAAATGTTTTCTAAATGAATTTTGCTTGGGATGGAAGAGAAATCGCTTCGTTTTGCTATAAATTACGAGGAAGAGTTGAAAATACACTCAAATGCGGGTGTAAGTTGTAATTCTCATGAAATATGCGTAGACTAATAATACGATAGCTCACCCCAAGCACTTTTCTCTTCTATATTGGGATACAATAAGTTTTATTCTGTGAGAAAATGCAATTAAAATTGTGTGATGCACTTGTGCCGAGGCGATTTCTGTGCAATATTTGAAGAAAAAAAGATATAATTGAACGTCACGTGTTCACCCGGGTCATGTGATATAGAAACGAATATGTTGATATGTAAGATTAGAGATCCCGTTGTGAAAATTGTATTTATATTCATAGCCTACCTTTTGAAATAAAATCGAAGCTAGGAAATGTGATGATCTGTTTTTAATGCAATTTAATGCTTTGGGCAGCCTTAACATAGCTACGTTGCGTTTTAAAAGCTTGATAGAAACTTCCAGTCTTGAATGATGTTTTATACTTGATCATGTTATCTAGTTTGAACCAATAATATAGTGGGAACGTATAGAGAAAAATGATAAATATGAATATTTGAAGATATTTTATCTCAATGAACAATATGAATGTTTGAAAATACTTTATATCAATGAACAAAGAACAAAGTGTTTGTAATAGAAAATCAATTGATAAATATTCCCATAGTTTGCAAGTGAAATTGGAAAAAGGAATTTATCTCTATCACATCAAATCATTCTGTAAAAAAAAAAAAAACCAAACTTTTTTCCTGTTTTTGCTGTTACAGAACCTGATCGTGGATGTAGTCTCAATGAAAATAAGAAGCGTAGAGAATATCTGCTGTACGGTAGTGTTATTCTTGGAGCGGTAGCAGTTTTACAGTTTTCCGTCTATTTTTATTTATCATTCTTCTACAAACCTGTCGTGTTTATCATCAACCACTTATGAAAACCATTTTTAAGTCAACTTTGTATAATGTTTAATTGATATAAGTCTTGTCAAATAAGAAATACTGAAATACATTCCTTGTTTTTCATTTAATATATTTGAAAGCTTTTGCTTTTCTGATAGAATGGTTTTTTACGCCATTGAAATTTATCATTATGCTAGAAAAATAATCAAATGTACATGTATATGTTTCTCGTCATTGGTGCATGTGAAGAAAATGTCTACATAAATATCGACTAGAGAACAAATGCTAAAGGATTAGACAAATTTTGGTACCAGTTGCAATCATCCTTTTTTTGGTTTTGAAAAAGGGCATCAATCAACCAAGCTTGTTGTAAATTTACTAGGGCTCGACACTCTAGACCACTTATGAGTTATTGAAACATTAAACATGTATTTTATTCAATTAATACATGTATGTTGAATGTTTCCCAATACACGCTATATTTACTTTGAGTGTTAATTTTAAGCATCTTTAAAATCTTTAGTTCTTTCCTAATATTCTTTTTTTCCCCACTTTTTAAAGTGGTAGCGGCATTTCTTTTTAAGTCCGAATTCGCTACTGTAAACGAACTAAATTATTTTAGGATAATTAACCCTAATTAAACGATGTTCATTAAATACTTATCATTAAAGCCATCCAAAAAATAACGGGCCACAAGAGGTGATAACAGCTGTGTACCAGGTGATTGGTCACGGTAATTACTGTATAAAGAAGTACACAGCCACAGACAATAACGGGTATTGACAGGTGTGGGTGACGCTAATTACAATGTGAACATGACAATTCATTTTGAAGTTGCATTTTTTTTTTGATGAGAAAAAATATACTTTGTTCTTTGAAATATGTATATTAAAAAATACATCCGAGTAACCGATTGGCGATTTTTGAATTTGATACTTGGACGTTCGATCGAGTACCCGGTTAACCGGGTACTAGTACTCGTTGACATCCCTAATGTATATATATATATATATATATATATATATATATATATATATATATATATATATATATATATATATATATATATATATATATATATATATATATATATATATATATATGTTTATATTTGGTATATATACCAAATTTGTGATTTCTTTGTATTTTTGTGTAAAACCAGTGTTTTATATATATATATATATATATATATATATATATATATATATATATATATATATATATATATATATATATATATATATAAAGGTTAATATAACGATCAGCGATCAATTTGTTAAAAAGAAATCATTCATATAAGCAATTGAAATATTTGATTGATTGATTGATTGTATGTTGTTTAACGTCTCATTCGAGAATTTTCACTCATATAGAAACGCCACTCTATGCTGGTGAAGGGCTTCAAATTTAGACTAATACTCGGCACTTAGGGTTATTGAGCAGTGAGTGTTCTTTATCGTGCCAAAGCCGAACTGAGTTTTTAAGGTCTCATCCGAAAGACCCGTGACTTTCACTTCTAGCGCCTGGAGCTTGGCGAAGGAACAGTCGCTACCTATGTTTACGTCTTAGGTTTGACGCGGCGCGGCGAACGAGAATCGAACCCGGGCCTCCCGATCACGAAGCGAGCGCCCTACACTAGGCTACCGTGACCGGTCTGAAACATTTGAAGAGGGCATAAAGCACGGCCCTCTAGAAAATTCTGAGAGTAAGATTAGGTTATTAAGAGGAGTAAGCATCCCCTGTTGCCCGGTTATACCCACCGCGAGCCATATGTATTGATCAGTTAGAAGTAATATTCCGTAGGCAAAATCAGTATCAGCTAAAAAAAATGACGCAATTATAAGTTATTTTTGCTAATAAGGCTATTATAAGAAAAAAAAATACAAAATAATGATTGATGAAATCCTTATAACATCAACTTATCTTCGGTTTATAAATTGATCGAACTGGAAGATTGCTCTTGAGCAACGAATAAATTGAGAAATGTAAGACACCATATACAGGTGATAACGGTATATTACTAAATAGATAAGGAAAAAATGAGGATGGAAAAGTCGGAATCATCTAGTTTGCCATACAATTGTTATTTGTTGTAACTTATCATCAATAGTCAGTAAAACGTCCAAATATGAAGCAGACTCTGACAGACTCTGCGGTGTCTTTTATTTGAAATTCACTGGGATATGTCGAGTCGACATATGAATAGAAGTTACTATTTTTAATTGAAAATGTGTCGTCAATACATCAAAATATCGAGTTTCAGGCCACAGCAAGTGTTTTCCTCTTCCTATGTAGAAGTTTTTGAATAAATTATGGTAGATGGGAATATAAAAAGAGGTCTGTTAATAAAGGAACACTATTAGTGCCCACCAAGATGCCAACAGTTTGTTGGAAGACCTGGTTTCCAAAGACTACGTAAATGTTTTCAGTGAGCAACTCAAGCATCTTTATAATATCAACTTCAGAGATGCGTATCTAGATTCAGGGTGATTTTTAACAAAGTAACTTTGTTTATTATCAATCACAAGATGGGTGAATTAAAAAAAATGACCAAACGTACACAATAAAAATACAGGCAATGAAAATAGATTTATACGTCTCAGCATTTGTCATTAGATAGTGTCTAAATACCTGCCAAATATCTCGTTGATATCTCAATTGACAAAAAGTTATGCCCAAAATTGATGCTAAAATTATCAGGAGTGCAACACCTTTTGTGACATTTTGAAATTTCAATATTTTTGGAGATCTGTGAAATAAATAATAATGCTTTGTGTTGAAAATAAAGACGTTTCTGATAATATTCAATGTATTGAGCTTTAAATGTGCGCTGTAGTAACTTTTGTTTAATCAAGTTGTGGTCATGGCCTATGTTTAAAAAAATGTTATACCATGTCAGGAGTGCAACAGAAAAAATGTAATGCTGCAAAAAAAAAAAAAAAAAAAAAAAAAACATCAATTGTAAATTTCTGAAAGAGAATTAAGACAATAAAGAATTTTTGAAGTGTGAAAAAATAACTGATATACATTTTAAAACTTAAAAATGTTATATAAATCACAAGCAGCATTAATAAGAGTCAAATATATGTGCTTACCCAATAATGTCAAGAGTGCAACATTTGATGTTTTGCTCCCAAACATGAAAAAACTATTATCATTATATGATTTTCTGATTTTCATTTTGGAAAAGAAAGACACAAAGACCATTTTTAATAAATAGATTAATCAATTACAGGATCTGTCTGTGCTTCAGATCTATATTTCTATGGTCAGGAGTGCAACCCATTTTTTAAAGATACAAGCTGTGTGATTAAAACACTTCTATCCATGCTTAGACGTATTCATTAATTAATAATGATGTTTTTGTATAATTTAATACTAAATTATTGACAGTTTTATTATTAAAATCCTTCCTTTTTCAATTTTATCAATTCGAATGTGTTTTTATCTTTTTTGTGATTTTTTTTAATGAATGTTAAAAATAAACACAATAAATAATTGTCATAAAATTCAAGTAACTCCTCCTCAACTTCACTGAAACAACAGAACAAGTTCTTATGTAATTTTCACTTCACAATTCTACTTTAAAGGTCCCAATGCTTTTGGTCAGGAGTGCAACAAACATGTTAGAATTATAAATCATCCAATAAGAATAAAAATAAAGAAAAAATGATGAGTAAAATTTTTCTGGTGGGTTACTGTGTTTGTCCTCTAAAGGAAATATGCTATAAAATATATTTTATCTTCTAAATATACATTTAAGCTAGTTTTTGGCATAAATAGGGAATAATTCCAAATAAAATGTTAATTTCAAATACTTTCATCTGTTTCAATTATGAAGTATTGGACTATAAACATTGCACAGTTTCATTACCACTTGATGTTGCCAACACTTTATGAATTTTTGTGTTCTACGATTTTAATTTTAAATTTTACTGCAGTCAGGAGGACAACAAAACTGCTGTATAATAACCAATGCTTTTCAGCTATCTTTACTAAAAAATGAGTTTTAAAAAAAATGTTTGATACTATTGGATGTTCAAAACACTATGTCTATCAACAAATTACAGAAATTTTCTAGTCAATTCAGGGAATAGTTTTCATCATTTCACATATAGTTTTATATGCAATTTATATACATTACATTTTGCAAATAATCATGTCTCAAGGTCTTCAATATATGAAAAACCTGCCGTAAACGATCAAAAATATCAAAACGACAAATTAATTTAAAAAGTAAGAATGGGTTATTGTGTGTTACAATTCTTAAAACAATTTTTAAAACAATGTTACATAAAATACATATCAGATGTCAGGAGTGCAATACAATAATGTAACATAGGGTCACTTCAAAATCTAGTATTTTTTGTAAGAGAACTCTTGTATAAAAGTTCTTTTTTGGCTTAGATTTAAAGAATTGGCTTGAACGGACAAAAAAGTGAAATTTCGGGAATTTTATTGCTTCATATTTTTTTTTTTCATATTAAAACTTTTCAAACCAGAATTGAAAAAATAATGTAAAATAACATTCGAAAAGAAAATTTTTTGTCACACATACAAGAGAAGATACTCAATCAAGGTCTAGATTTAATCATTTATACCCCTTCTACCATTTTGAAGCATAAAAAACTATAATTCCTTGTGATTATGATTTTTAGAAAGTCTTTTAAGGTGAAATGATATTTTCTTTTTTTTTTAAAGAAATTTTATTAATAAAAATTCTGAAATTTTTTAACACAATTGTCTATTCTATTGCCACTTCAGGATTTTAAACTAGAATGCATGTGCAATATGATGATATACGTGAAAAATATGTTAGAAGTAGTTGAATTTTTCCAAAAAAAAATTCAGTTTGGTGGTCATATTTTTTAATTCACCCAGATACGAAATTTCCTTTTTTATTAAGAGGCACTCGTCTATGAAATCAAAAAGCCTAGTTTTTTTTTGTTTTCATCACGAGAAATGGTTTTGTAAAGTATAGAAAAGAAATCATGTGTAAACAAATACAATTAATATTTGGCTACAACCATGTAACAAATGAATACAAA